TGAAGTGTGAATTTAAAAGACACATAAATTAAATAAGACCGAGATGTTTCTCGCCGTCGATCGACGACGAGTGCGGTGGTGGTGTATAAGTGGGTAATCAGAGATTAATATACGATAGTGCGGGCTGCGCCCCTTAGTTTTAGTCTTAGTAGTACGGAGGGCTGTTTCCGCAACTCGACACTCAGTGCCTATTTTGCGTGGGGATGGCATCAGTCCTGCCATCCCAGCTCCTTCAGAAAGCTCAGCAGTCCCCGGATGTTGCTGCAGGCTTCTACTAGTGTCCGCGGGCTTCCCATTAGAGAAGTCCTTTGTCTTGCAACGCCTCTGCACTCCAGCAGAACATGGGCGCTCGTCTCCTCTTCCTCCAAGTAGGCTCTGCACAGAGGGCTGTCAGAAATACCTATATTATAAAGGTGTTTGTTGAAGTAGCCGTGACCCGTGAGTATACCCACGATTTGTTTCAGGGCTTGTCTAGGTAGTCGGATTAACTTACGTGATAGCTGCTGGTTTACCTTAGGAACGGCTTCCCTAGCTTGCCTGCAGTCAGTGTGTTTTGCCCAATATTCATCGTGTTGTCGTTGAGAGCGCTCCCTTATCCAGGTTCGCAGCTGCCGATAGGGTATGGGTATAATTGGCTCCGGACCAATGGCCGTCCTGCTAGACCCCTCCCTGGCTAAGCAGTCCGCCGCATCGTTACCCCTTGAGCCGCTGTGTCCTTTAATCCACTGTAGGGTCAATCTATTGTCGTTAGCAATATTAGTCAACTTACTGTGGCATTCGTAAATTAAGCCTGATGTCATTATATTGTTGTCCCGGGCTGCGCCCCGTCCGTATTCCTGCGATTAATGAGTGTGGACAGACTAGCGAGTTTGATTGACGTACTTCCCCTATCTTCAGACAGACACCAGAATTTTTGGTTCCTTTTTTTGAGTAGAAGAAAAAACTACGCGTTGGAAGAATTCAACTAATTCGATGGATCTCCATTTTTATTATTTATAACACATTTAATTTTTACAAACGAAAAAAAGTGAGCTTCCATTTATGTCTTTATTTGCAATCTTTTTTTTTGTATTATCTCTTTTATTGTTATAAAAAAAACTGGTGGTTTTTTTATAACTAACAACACACACTCTTGCAGTGGTGCTCAATATTGATTAAACTCATTAATTTAATTAATCATTTCGTCGTCGAAAGCTCCGATACGTAGTACGTGTACTCATTTTGTTACTAAATTCTGCTATAAGTACCCACGTCATAAAAAAAAATGGTTGGCAAATGTGATAATTGTGGTAAAGGCATCACTAAATCTAGACCGGGTCTGGTATGCAGACGATGTGAAAAAGAAGTGCATCTCAATAACCAGTGTACTGGCCTATCCAATAAGCAACTCGCTGCTCTGCGGGCGTCAGACAACCTAGAATGGACTTCTCATGAATGTCACAGTAACTCTCCAAGACGCCGTTCTATCATCGTCCCTGACGATGAGGACGATGAGGATTCTACTGAGACACCTAATTTACAGATCGACGTAAAAGAGCTACTGGCCAACATATCAATTCAAGTAGGAAAAGCTATAAAAAAAGAAATGAGGGATATCACACAATCCCTACAATATCATTCGGATAAAATGGACGAACTAATAAAAAATACGGAAATATTGCAGGGTAATGTTACCAATTTACGGAAGAAAAATGTGGAGCTGACTAATCGAAACAATAACTTGGAGCTCAGGGTAGGAGCCTTGGAACAACGTATTCAAGAAATCGAGCAAAAAGCACTGTGTAATCATATTGAAATACACAATGTTCCTGTACAAGAAAATGAAAATGTTCTTGAGATCTCAGCTAACGTTGTTAAAATCCTAAAGCAGTGTACGGAAGATATTAATCAAGTAAAACGGCTCCCTGGCAGGGACGATCGACCGGGACCGTTACACATTGAGCTAAAAACCGAGCAAAATCAAACCTCTTGGTTAGCTGCCAACAAAGAAAAAATAAAAAAATTGTTTCATCTGAAATCGTCCTGTCTTCGTGTTCTTCTTCTGAAGCCAATGGAAACACTTTATATTTGTGAAGCTTTAACTCCTTACAATAAGCAACTACTCTGGAAAACTAAGAAGGAACTGAAGGAAGTATATAGATATATTTGGATAAAAAAGGGAGTACTACGGGTGAGAAAAAAAGGAGATAATCAAAAATCCTACATAATTCGTTGCTTAGAAGACATAAAAAAATTGGCTGTAACAAAGAACAAATAGGTATTTCTATATATTTTTTTTTGGTTAAAATAGTTATTGCGAATTTCTTGAATAATGGATCTAGTATTAGATGGTATATCGCAATTGACCGACTGTAAAGACTTAAAAACTTTCTTGAATAATATTCCAATAAAAACAAAACTTGTATGTGTATTTTTTTGTATTTATTCATGTTCTCGAATTGTTGATGTAGTTATGCTTACAGAGGTAAATATTTGTAATTCTCTCTGTACCCTATTCCAACTAAAAGGTTATAGAATATTTACAGAACTGCGGAAGGGCCGGAGGGGCGGTGGCGTAATCATTTATATAAAAAATTGCTACAAATTTAAAAAAAGCAATTTTATAATGCAACACTGTGAAAACTTAATAGGCACAATCACTACTCCCTCGGGCTATTCTGCTGATTTGTTATGTTTATACCGCCCGCCAAGTAACGTTAATCTATTTGTTAAGGAACTTGATATTATCTTGAACAAACTAGGCAAACAACAAGACCCTTATCTACTAGGAGATATAAACATAAACCTGCTGAAAAATGTACCTATAAAACATATTTACAACACCACCATGTATAAATACGGTTTAGCTTGCGGGATCACAGAATACACACGCATAGAAATTGTTAACGACAGACACAGCAAATCTTGTATTGATCACATTTATGCACGATCCCGCTCACTAAACATATACACGGCGACGCTTGGAACTGCACTGGCCGATCACCGCGTTGTCGCGCTGGCAGTGGTGGACCCGACCGGTGATGACACACGGGTGGATTTTAGGTTCACTAATAAATACGATAACAAAATACTCACTAAAAACTTAAAACAATTAGATTGGAATCTATTAAAACAAATGACTTGTCCACTTAAAACTTATTCAAGTTTGACAGAAAATATTAAAAAATGTCATGATAAAGCCACGGTTAAAATCAAAATATGTAACAATAAAAATCGTATAAATAACAAATGGATTAACAGCAAAATTATAAAATCATGTGAATACCGAGATAATCTATTTATGAAATGGAGTGCAGACCCCACTAACAAAATATTAAAACAAAAATATAACTCAATTAGGATTAGTACAAATAAATTGATAAATAAGTCTAAAAATAAACACATACGAAAGGAAATTCAGACACACAAAAATAACCCTAGAATGTTATGGCAGATACTAAATGATATTACTGGCAGGGCAAAAACACTTGCGGACACTATTATATGTAATGCTTTCTTAAATAGTACTAAAAGTACTAAAGATATAGCAAACGCTTTTGCAGAAAGTTTTAAAGGTTGTGTTAAGAGTACATCACCAAAGTGTAAAGTGCAACTGCTGAATGCAGAAACGTATGTGAACTTTACTGATGTATCATGCCGATTTCAGAAAGTTGCTTCAAAAACAGTTCTTAAAGAAATTCGGTCCTTGAACAACCAGAAAGCACTAGGTGTAGATGGTATAAGAGCGGCAGACCTAAAAATTATTGGCAGGCAAATCGCAGGTGTAATAGCGCAGCTTATTAATACTTCTGTTAAAAAAGGCTTATACCCAAAGGACTTTAAGACGGGTATTGTAAGGCCTATACACAAAAAAGGCAGTCTAGATTCTTATAAAAATTATGTCCGATCACAATACTTTCAACTGTAGATAAAGTTATAGAAAAGGTAATAAGTAAGCAAATACACACATTTTATAAAAATAACAGCATAATCACAAATAAACAATTTGGTTTTTAGTCTGGTAAAAGCACGACTCAACTTCTCACTAAATTCACTGATAGTGTTAATCATGGTCTTAATGAAAAAAAACATGTTTTGGTACTTTTTATAGATTACAGTAGGGCGTTCGATTCTCTAAGACACAACACTCTGATCAAAAAGCTTAGCGATTGTGGTATACGTGGTCCTCTTAATACATGGTGCCAGGAGTATTTGAATGGTAGATCCTACATAGTTAAGATAGGTGACGCTTTAAGTGATAGTGTCACTGTAAAAGATGGCACCGCTCAGGGTTCTGTATTAGGCCCATTGCATTATATAACTTACGTGAATGATGCGGTTAATGTCGTATCTAAGAGCGAAATGTATCAATACGCCGATGACACCTACCTGATATCTGCAAACAATGATCTGGACACTGCCCTTAATCATTTGCAAAAAGACTTTATACTATTATCTAAATGGTCTCACGATGTAGGGTTAGTGGTAAACCCAGACAAAACAAAATTAATGTATATTAGTTCTAGTCACAATAGAAAATACAAAGATCTGAAACTAATTGCGCACTCAAATACATGTCTACACGCTTGTTCACAAATCTGCACTTGTCCTACAATAGAAATGGCAAAACGGTCTAACAATTGATGATCGATTTAAGTGGACGGAACATATATACAATGTAAGCGACAAACTAAGGGCGATACTGGCCAAGTTTGCTATTGTTAAAAACAAAATTCCGTATAAAACACTATTGCACTTGTATAAGGCACTCGGTGAAAGTACAATACATTACGGCCTGAGTAGCTACGGTCGAACCTTCAAATCGCATCTTGATTCGATAAAAGAGCTTCAGTTAAGAATTCTTAAAACTATAGTGCCAGAAAAGATAAAAACTCAGTACCAACACAACAACAATGAGCTATTCTATCATTGTGGAGTCCTACCTGTACATGATCAAGATTATGTAACAAGAGGAATCTATGAATTAGTACTCAAACATTACTCACAATGCAATCAGATGATTAAGGAGGAGTATCATCGTCGACATGCACAACTCCCACAGGCTCAACCCTCATCTCAGCCCTCATTTGTTCAACCAGCACTCTAGGACAACTATCTTTTATAACTACTTTTAGCTTCTTAGTTGACAGGTTTTTTTGTTCAATATTTTTTTTTAAAAAGTTTATAAAAAATTGGAAAAATAATTAAATATCTAATTTCGTTGACTTTAGATATCAATATCGATTTATTAATCGAATGAATATTTTCACTCTATAAATGAGCAATTCATTCGTGATGATGAGCAGTCATTAATGATAATTATTCAATTAATTCCTAACTTGTCTATCTAATCAGTTTAAACTTTATTAATAATTAAAAACAGTGACAATGGCAGGAGTAGTAAGTCCGGCATCTAATGAGGTAATAGCTGTAATTTATTCTGATATAAACTAACAATTTAATTGATGGCCGAGTTGTTTTTAAATTATTTTTTGTTTTATTCTTTACAGGTTGAGATAAGAATAAGCAGTATTAGTTTAAGACTCTCTGTTGATCTTATAGATATATATGTTGATCTGTAGATATATGTGTTGAAATCAAAGTATTCTTTTAATTACGTACTCCAACATAATTACTACAATTCATTTTTATCACAATATAATAATAAATATGTACACTTTTCTTGTAGACAAAAATGATACGCATAGTTTTTTTCTAAATTCATTATCACAAATACTTAATTAAAACTGGAATGATTCCATTTAAGTATAAATGTAAGTACATTTTTTTTGTAAAAGTATTGCACAAATATCAAGTAGCATTTTCATAATAAAAATTAAAAACTTGAGAAATGGAATTTATAACTAGTAATTTTTTGCCTATGGTAAACTCGTAAACACTGTGCGTTCCATTAAATATATCAGCAGTTACTTCCAACATTTTCGGCATTAAATCTACATTACGTTGAACTTCGTCTCCACAAACCTGTTTCAATTTATTACCATCATGAGATTCAATTTATAATTATAATTAATTCAATATAACTATTGATTATTAATAAATATGTACACACTTTTTTGAATTATACTTCTCTAGTTGGCATTGTATACATGGCCACAATAGCGGCTTTTTTTATTACCCAAGGATGATGTTTAGCTAAAGTTTTATTGTATGCATCCTAGCAATAACTTGATGTTTTTTCAGAATCTTTTAAATCGCCAAGCTATCTCAAAAATTCTCTAATAAAATCTGTAAAAAATAACAGTAAGTTTTCGTTAGACTTAAAACTTAATTCGTGATTAATTGTGCATTAATGAAAGATCAGTCAGTTATTGATGATTTCGTAATCGCAAGGGTTTTGTTATATTTGAATGTATTATTGTTAGTTTTAATAATAACAGGATGATCAATACATTTGTATAATCAAACTGAATAAATACAAACCACGTCCGCGATGAAGACGTAACAGAGTTCTAGATCATTGACTTTATAGTTTGATATTTATTTGCCTTCAATAATTCATTTAAAATATCATTTTTTTGTTTTAAGTCTGAAGAAACATAGCTAAAAACCGTGCCCATAAGTTGAAAAATTCTGTATAAAATAAATTTATTTGTCATTATAATTGTAATAGTTTTATGATTCAACATTGATGACGAAGAAAATTTTAGTTGTGTATGGTCATGTGATTAATTTAAATTATTGACAGTGGTTTCTGAGAAATCATGGCAATTGTTTATGCAAAAACATCAATAATACTTGATAACAAAAAAAAAATATTAATCCACTTACTTATAGAGTTCATTATAAGCATCCAGGTAAGCTTTGATGTTGACGTCATAATCTTCAACAAGAGCACGATCAAAATTATCGTGAACAATGTGGAGATCAAAAAATGACAACTCTGAACCTTCAGCCATCTTTAGAAAATTACTTTGATGTGTGAATTATTCAGATACCATGTTCAAGGATTTTCATCGTTATGGACACAGCTGTATTTTTACAGTCGGTTCTTTTCTTAAGTTCGCCCATATTCAATTCTACTCAATTAAATTTTTCAAATAGTATTTACAGTTCAAATTAACAGAAAAGTTAGAAATTGTGATTTAAAATATAATTGGATATTATTGAAAGTATATTTGAAAATTACAATAAAACCTAAAAAAAACTATTTTTTACATTAAACTAATGAACGGTAATTTCAATTTAATTCAGATCAAGTGGGGTAAACAGACCAACAAACAAACACCATCCGGAAGATAAACAAATTGTTCGAATTATTAAAAAATCAAGATTTGAACTCATTGCAATATTTTTTTATTTATAAGGTATGATCTAATTAAGGAAAAAATTCTAAATTCTTCAAATATGCATTAATTTTCGAAACATCTGGATATTGACAAATGTTTTACATTGAAACGGGTGATAAAGTTTTATTCAGAGTACCCCATTTATCTAGCAATACGAAAGATATAGTCCAGTCAGTATTGTCGCGAAATCCGTTTTTCCTCAAACAGCTGGAACTATGCTAAAAAGTTTCTTAAGATAGTAAAGAACACTTTACATAGAGAAAAAAATGTTTCCAACCCCGGGCAAGGGTGAAAACCACCCTTAATAATCTATTTTTCCAATTATCTCAAAAAGTATACGAGATACGGAAAAAAACTTCAAATGAAAATTGTAGATCTTTTTGAAATCTACAAAACATTATTCCACCCTCTTGCCCCTATTTTCAATAGGGGAGCCAATAATCGAAGTCAAAGATTCAATACTTAAAAAGTTAAAGTTAGTTAAAAAAGTTATCTTTGACTTCGATTATTGGCTCCCCTATTGAAAATAGGGGCAAGAGGGTGGAATAATGTTTTGTAGATTTCAAAAAGATCTACAATTTTCATTTGAAGTTTTTTTCCGTATCTCGTATACTTTTTGAGATAATTGGAAAAATAGATTATTAAGGGTGGTTTTCACCCTTGCCCGGGGTTGGAAACATTTTTTTCTCTATGTAAAGTGTTCTTTACTATCTTAAGAAACTTTTTAGCATAGTTCCAGCTGTTTGAGAAAAAAAGGATTTCGCGACAATACTGACTGGACTAATATTGCCAACTTATCAATTACACGGAGAAAAATAAGGAGTAAATTCTAGTAGCTTCTACTCCAGGGCCTGGTCAATATGTGGATGACTATTCTTAGGAGTAAAAGCTAGTACTGTTCCGTGGCAACTATAATACTAGTCTGGGAGGTAAACCATACTGGAGTATGGAGTAATTTTCTTAAGAAGTAGTATTTACTCCAAATTTTAACTAATTTTATTTATAGAGCAATAGGAGTTTAAAACAAATAATATCAACTTTTGATTCAAATTAATTTATTTAAAGGCCTTTCATTATAATTGATATTACATTTTGAATGATTGGTGTAATCAATAAGAGCAATACAAGAAACTTTCAAATCATCATGTACTTGATAAAAGAAAATTATTCAAGCGTATATTTCCCCGTAGAATCAAATATACATGCGGGAACGCTATTTCCACTATCATTGACTACCATCTCACAGTATGTCTTCTCATCACAATCAACATCCGAACAAGTTGTCCCCCCTTCAGGAAAATATGCAATGTCCTCCTTTTGTGCAACTATTGCGATTGCCAGGAAGCAAACAATACCCATTATCATGAGCATGCTCTTCATTTTGGATTTTTTTCTAAAATTGAATTAAAAATAAAAGATTTGTAATGAAACTGAAAGACATACGTACACTAATAATACTCGAGAACAAATACGATAAATTTATGCGTATCTACATAGATCTACTAAAGTATTCAAAGATTTCCACAGATATACAGTAATCATGAAAATTTTTAATCAAAATTATATTATACTCACAGTTAATGTAGTAGCGATGATCACTCTGATGATGATTTTCATAAACTATGATAATGAAATACTCATGGGAGGCCTTTTATATTTGATCTTATTTATCTTTGGGTGTTGTAATGTTTGTTTTGTGAGCAGAGGCACCCCGAGGGGAGGTTGGACTCCGGACTACCCATTTCCGCATATAACTGGTTGGCAGCAGATTAAAGCAGATAAACTGAATATCTATGAGTAGGAGATCAGTGTATAAGTGTCGGCACAATCATTAAGATGTATGATCCCTGTGAGGGACGACTCTTGCCAGTATTTTTCTTATTAAAAAATGTACCAGTAAAAACAGACACATTTTAAACCGAAAGGTATTAAATAAATATATTATACTAGCGGTGGGTCGTTCTCAAATTTTCTGTCCTCGTCCTCGAAACGGTTCTCGTTCGCAACTGGTTTTGGTTGCGGCTGGGTGACGCAACGAAAAGACACACGACAACTGAACTAAATGAAATCTTGTTAACGTTCGTTTCGTTGCTGCGAACGAGACGACGAAACATCGAAATAAATGTAGTGTTATACGATAATCGACTTTAAGTGTTCAATAATAAAGATTATATTATTGTAAAATCAAAGCTTAATTATCATAGAACGAAACGGCCTCATATCATTGCGTTCTATTGTAGACTGTATTTTCTTCATGATAAAGAACATATTGGCGTGCAGACAATCCGAGGACTAGTTGTTCGACGAAGACTGTTTTGATCCGAAACGTAAAACGGTTCTACGTCGCGGAACACAAAACGGTCCTTAAAACCGGTTCGTCTTTAGAACGCTCACACCTATTATACCTGATTATACCACACTAAGCTTGAGGCTTATGTAACTGCAAAAGAAATTCATGAAATAACCGTCATGCCTGTTCTTTAGTTTTAAAAGACGCTTTAACTATTTGTTTATTAGCATACATAAGATCTACAGAAAGCTCAAAGTTTTACCTTTTTCGGCTTAAAGGAGATTTGCTCAGCTTCCATACATCTTTGGCCTAAAGACCAATAATCATGAAAAATTGTTTCCGAGATTCGAAATCACACTAATATTATAAAGGCGAAAGTTTGTGAGTATGTGAGTGTGTATGTTTGTTACTTCTTCACGTCTTAACGGCTGGAACGATTTTAATAAAATTTGGTATGGAGCTAGCTGACACCCTGGATTAACACATAGGGTACGTTTTAATAAGGGAAAATATCGCTAGTAAACCGCGGGTAACACCGCGGAGCACAGCTAGTTACAAATATGTAAATACGTTAATATTATCTTTTAATGCTGGCATATTTCATCGTCTTTCCCGTATGTATTATTCCAAATTTGAATTTTAGAATTTAAAATAAAGAACAAAAGCCGAGCTTGGTCACTGATTTGAAAAAAATAATAACTGTTGAAAGTTGCGGTTGTAAACCAAAGTTTAGTTTAGTTATTTTTCTATATTTGAACCGTTTTTGGCTATAAAATTATGGATACTTCACCTGAAGTAGCCGCGCAAGCTGTAGCACTTCTTCAATCTGGGCTAAGTCAGCGAGATGTGAGTTCACAACTTCACATAAGTCGTTCCGCTGTTCAAAGAGTGTACCACCGATACCTGGAGACTGGCGGCTTCGTTCGGCGAACAGGAGGACCTCGTTACCGAGCGACAATGGCGAGACAAAATCAATACATTGTCACTACTAGCTTACGAAATCGACGCCTTAACTCTGTTCAGATACAAGAACAGCTCAGGAACTTACACGGAGTGGCTGTAAGTCGGACCGTTAGAAGGCGACTCAATGAACGTGGTTTAATGCCCCATAAGCCAGCCAATGGACCCAAATTGACACGAGCACACCGAATAGTCCGTCTAGAGTTTGCGCGCGAACATCTAAATTGGACTCGACATCAATGGAGCCAGGTTCTCTTCACAGATGAGTCCAAGATAATGCTATACGGTAATGACGGAAGGAGTAAGGTGTACCGAAGACAGAACGAGCGATTCGCGCAATGCTGTATTGACGAGCAAGTGACTTGTTTCAACGTAACTCGACTTTTTTAATAAACTGTAGTTCAAATTTAGAACAGTGGCACTCTAAATGAATGATGAGTATACCAGCACCAAAACTGCATCAAAACATTTTCCTTCTACATACATCTTTTATAAGTTACAGTACTCCAAACCAAAAAAATGAAGGTAGCTCGATTTAGGTGTCAATTCAATTCAATTCAATTTATTTGCATTAAATAGGGTACAAATAAAGGTGTTACATTTCATCTAAGCTGTAGCTTAACCTATTCAGTCATATAAAGATAACCTATGTAAATGTCAATAATTCTTATTATAATATTATAATTATTCGATGTCGTCAATTTATCATGTCCATAATTATGTGAATGTCATAATTAGAATGGTCTTGTAAAGAATATCAAAATTAAATGTTATATTTAAACCCATTAAGCATGTCTTTAACCCATGCATCAAATCCTACCATAATTCATGAACTCAACCATACTGTAAAACGTGTTTTCATTTAACCACTTACGAAGTTTTGACTTGAACTTATTAAAGGTTTGGCTTTTAATTTCTTCTGGAATTTGATTATAAATTTTAATTGCCATCGCTGGTGCATTTGTTTGGAATCGCTTTGTTTTCGGAACTATGTCCATTTTTATTTTATTAGGATACCTCAGACTTCGATCTGTTGCATCTTTTGCGACTGTATACAAATGGTAGTGCTGCTTTACAAAAGTTGCTACTTCGAGAATGTACAAAGAAGTCAAAGTTAAAATATTTAGGTCCTTAAAATATGTTCTACAAGAAACATCCGGGGCTATATTACAAATTGCCCGTATACACCTTTTTTGGCATACAAACACTCTTTTAATGTCCGTGCCATTTCCCCAGATTATAAGACCGTATCTTAATATCGATTCCACATAAGCGTAATAAGCTGTAATAGCTGTGGCTTTATTTGCAACTTTTGATAGTTTATGCAGAGCAAAGACAAATGAACTTATTTTATTGCTAA